GATAAAGCATTCATCAAATTAAACATGGTATGGTATTCCACTACTTATGAACAAACCATCTTAGATGTATTTGAAATACATTATTATACACAAGAAATTAAATTAATATGTTTCAAGTCATTGTTACCATGAAATTAAATATATTTTTATTTGTTATTCTACTGTGATACCAGACAAAGGTTATATATACCCCAATATGGGGGAGGGGGTACTTACATTTCACCTCCTTTCAGTGAGATAACCAACCTATCATCACTAACAAAAGCAGCTTGTGAACAATCCAGCGATATTTTTACGACGTCTTGATATCCTGAAATCAAATTACAATGTACAATAATTCAGATAGATACAAGCAATTGTGACTGAGAATAAATAAATCCTTCGCATCAAGGGGCTGGGATGAGATTTCACACAATGTGTTTTGTCAGATGTTAATAATTATCTTGACAGAAGCAATACATTACAGTTGCCATGACAACACTTATCTGCCAGGGCATTTGCATTACCGAGAATATTTTGTTTGTGTTCTTTTGTGAACCATTATACATAACTGAATGAATGAATGAATGATATCAGTCACAACTGAAATACAGTTTCACCTGTTTGCTGCTATATACATGTACAATCCAGTATAGCGTGGTTGTTACCATAGCAGTTACCAAAACTGTCTGTCTGTCTGTCTTATTGTTTTGAATGCATGCAGTCAGCATGTACAGTAATGGTCTATATTTGGTTGTATTATGGATGTAATCATATTACTTACTGAGTGGAAACTGTGTACTGCCCTCTGTCAATCCATTCAATGATACACCATATGGAGGCACACTCTGATTCAAATATAACAGAGAATCTACAGCAAAAACCAATACACCACCTTCCAAGCAGAAAGAACAAATAAATTCATTATTATTAGGTATTTAAAAACAAAATCATTGTAAAGTTCAAGTGATTTGACTATTGAAAGTGACATGGTTGTAGTGACTAGGGTATATAGGAATGAAATGTGAATGACCATGTACAAATCATCTGACAGTGGATTAGACTGTTAGTACATTAAGTCTAATCTCAAAAACAGAGCAATGGTAACAGTCAAATGGTAAATTATTTATATAAGCAAACTTACCTATTGGTTTTGGAACTGGTATAGCCTTGATACAGTCAAATGGTAAGTTATTTAAGGACCAGATTACAGGGTGTACTCGCTGTTCAATGTTTAATGATATTGCTACAATACAACAAGTATCTTTGCGTACAGCTACTCGACTACAACAAAGAGAATTATTACACATGGTTTGAAAAAGATTAGATGTTTTGATAAAATGTGAGTAAAATTACTCATCCCATCATGTCAGAGATAAGAAGTTATTAAGCTTCTGGAATAGTCCACCATGCTTGACTTTGATGCTTTTTTTTCAACTTAAATTGGTCATCTTATATGAATATTTATCTTATGATGCATTGGGTATGTTGTCAAGTTTGAACATAAAAGGAAGATCAACTCTCTTTTATATTACTCTGAAAAAACTACTTCCGTGAATTAAAAAAGTTTTTTTTTTAAATAAATGAAGTCCAAGTAAGATTAAATTATTTAGATTTTTGGAGATGCATGTTGGTCAATATAATGTTTCACTGGTGTCACTGGTGTTTGTGATATGATGTGTATATAATATGTGACAGTAATCTAGTGTGGCCATCTTTGATTTTGCAAAAAAATATTATTTGAGCTGGCGAGACCTCACAAACATGTTATGGCTTATTTGTAAATAACTGAACTGTAAGTGAAGTTTGGCTGAAATAAAGTTTTTAAATTGGTGCTATTGGACAGTAAACTCATTCATGCTTGTTTTAAAAAATACAGGTCAAATGGGATGGATACAACAGATATGAAATTACAAGTCAAAATGTGAGGTAAATACGTGTATAATGTTTTACATATTTCTTAAAGACATAAGAAAAAACTTACCCTGGCCAGGTTCGAAGTGGTTCAAATAAGATAAAGAGTGTTGGTTCATAATATCCATGTAAAAACTTGATGTCAATGATGTTAATTAACTTCTGGTCAATGTCTTGTAGATTTATAATATAACTTGGTAAAAATGATGATTTGGAACTGAAAAATAAAACGGGAACAAAGTCTGACGGGATGTATAAATGTGATTCTTGGTACACAGAGAATGGACCTGGCTTACAGTCAATATGGAACATTGAGAACAATAGCAAAGAGCACACTGTCTTCGCATTAATTTTCCAAGATATATAACTTCACCGTTTTATTAATTTTTGTTCAGTGAAACAATGAGAAATTTTATATGTACACATGGATTTAATTTAGCAGACACCGATAATTAATGCATTTCACAGTAATGCACTGAGGACTTAGCTTCCTGGTAAACACCTTCCTTATCCTCTGTAGCATTTTTCTATAATTAATGCATTTAACAGTCATAAACTGAAGACTTACCTTCCTGGTAGAACACCATCTTGATCTTCTGCAGCACCTTCCCGTCTGAATGGTAAAACAACTAATTTGCTGCCATACATCAACATTACAGCACATCTATTGTCTGGATCTACCACCACTTGCGGAATGTAATAATTACTAACATAGCCCTCCTGTAGATGGAAAACAAAAGAAATTTAAATTTAATTTACTAATCAGCATAAAAAAAATCAATTTTATTGAACATGGTGTCATGACAACTGTGTCAACATTTTCTTCAATCAGCATGACCTTTTACACCTGGAATGTGTGTGTTTCCATGACGTTTACCCTAAAATACAAGAAAGAATTTCTTGATCACAGAATGGTGTTGCCGTGGATACGGTAAGTGTCACAATAAATATAAACCTTAAACATGTGAAATAAATTTGTCACTAAAAATTACACTTGAAATTTGTTCATATTTGTGAGATATTAGTTTTTTTTGAACAACTGGAGTAGTATAAACTGAGAGTTTGTGTTAACTGAGAGTTTGTGTTAACTGAGAGTTTGTGTTAACTGAGAGTTTGTGTTAACTGAGAGTTTGTGTTAACTGAGAGTTTGTTTGTTCCATAAATGGATAACTTTACCTTTAGTGCTTCTTCTTCAAAGTAATGTAATGAGAGTGTTTTCAAATCATGTGTACCAGGATCATATTCAACAACAGATAGCTACAAAGGAAGACAAATAAGATTTTATTAGTTGTCTTCACTTTCACACAAATTTCAATGCACAGTTTATAATAGAACAGTTTTCAAGTGAAACATGTATTGAACACTGTCCTTTGTATGTACCTCTGCTCAGCAGCAAATGGTTATTCAAGATGGCGGACATCACCAAAGTTTGACTGGATTATGAAACCACTTACACAGAAGGTTGTTTGAAAGTGTAACTTTGATTGTATACTAGACAAGAGCATATTACAACATTGAAATAGGTATTTGTGACTTTATGCAAAAAGAACATTTGCCTTCTAAGAATCAAGCAAATAAATCAAATAAATAATTTGGGTGCAAATGTCCATTTTCAGTCAGTCATATATAGTTTTACAAGCGGCTGATTTTAACAAGTTGCAAGTTTTAATAATAAGTGTGAGGCCGAATTGTTTATGACTTGTAGAATACACATGTTTGGTAAGTTTAGACAAAGACCTTAAGGTCTATGGTTTAGAAGTGTAAATAATCAACTATCTCCATTATCAAATTTTCACTGAAAGAGACTTCTATGATAGCTAACAAACACAAAATTCTAAAATAATGAACATATCTAGCAGCCACAGAACTCATATAAAGGTGATGATAATATAACTCTACATTGAAAATAATATTTTAAAATCATTGTAACTATTCCACAAGAAAAAAGAGGGATGAGGGACAAGTGTACTGTTAATACTACAATAATACTACAGACATTTATAGAATTTAAATCAATATACTAACCTTGGCATCTTTAAAGCTAAGCAGTAATGCATCTCTAGATGCACCTGCCAATCTTGTAGTCTGTAGAGACATTATATTACCAAATAAACTGAACGATCTCAAATGTTCCAACTTACTCTTCTTTTGCTTAGACTCTTTAAAAAAAATAAGTCAATAGTCTCTTCGTTAGTTCACAGAAGTATATTAAATTTAAATGTGTGTCCTTGTTATCATACAATAAATAACAAAACAAACCCCCCATGCGTATTTCACTAAAATGAACCAGGTATGCCTAACAATTGAAAGAGGAAATTCAGTTATGGTTTTTGGAATGCAGAATGGCTGCCAGACTGGTAAATGCCTTGTACCTTCAAAAATGTATGTGCATTGGTCTAATAAATAAACTGATACATTAATCTGAATCAATAAATCATGTAATGATGTTCAAGAAATACATGCATAAACTGATTTTCAGATTTCAAATTATTAGTTCTGGTTTTTGAACCACTTTGTTAGGCCTCTGTTTGTTTGATCCTCTCACAAGAATCAGAAATCTCATGTAATATATGAAACAAGTCATTGAAAATGAAACAGTCCCCGTTAAAAAAATTTTGAAAGTTCTCTTTGTGCTCGTCATATTAAAGCGGAGGGGTTGTCGCGAGCATGTCCTTGAAACTTGAGTTCCAAGTTGCGTATACAACAGATTGTTTATTTACATCAAAACACGTGTTCCGTGTAGTAGTAATATGGCCAAAAATAAAAACAGCCGTTATTCGGCCATCTTTGATCTGATTATGAAACACACTGATATGTATGATGTACATGTATGTGCCAAATACAAATGAAAATAGTACATAAATTGTGGAAATATAGTAGTAAGGCCAAAAAGTCAGATGGCTGTCAATCGGCCATCCTTGACCAGATTTTGAAACAAATTGTCATGGACATGCATCCTAACATGTATAAAGAACATGTATGTGCCAAATGTGAATGAAAACTGACAGAGCACGTTCAAGATACCGCATAGAAAAAACAAAAACAAGATGCCTGCCAGTCGACCATCTTTGATCCAATTGCGAAATAAATCATCATGGACATGTATCCTAACATGTATAATCTATGTACCAAGTTTGAATGACAACTGACTAAGCATGTCCAAAATACAACATTTTCAAAAAACAAGATGGCTGCCAGTCGGCCATTTTGAATCGAATCGCTAAACCACTGCATGTGCATATGTCCCACATAAAGTACTAGGCACATGCAAAGAATGAACGGAATCGGTCCAAGGGATTCTGAGATATGACTTTGGATGGACGCACGGAGGCACAGACGCACGGACGGACACAGACCGAATTATAAGTCCCCGTTTTCGGACTACGTTCAAACGGGGACTAAAAACTTGGACAAGTCAAATATTTGACATATTTGGTCTATTAGAAGCTTTGGATAAGTGTGTAGGCAAAGCTAGATAACATGTGTATATATAGATGTGTATGGAATAGGTGTAAATCTATATGCTCTATAAGTATGAAATGGTGCACTTCTGGTCAATGGGCAGTGCCAATTTATTTCATAAATTAAACGAAGCAAGACAACTCATTCATGATAAATCATATTCAGAATCACCAATAGCATGCATGTAAACCAAAAATTGTATTTATTGTATATTAGATCATTGAATCAAGACACAAGTCACTTACGTAGCCACACACGCTAATGATATAGCTAATACAATTTTTTTTTCTACAACTGAATAGTACCGGTACTACTAATACCATGTGGTAATGCATAGATTACATTGAACTTGTTTAATTAAAACTACGTACCTTGCCCTTTATCTGTACCTTTGCCTTGTGCCTACAATATGCAAATGTACTTAAACATTAAACAAAGTAACACTAACAACTCAATAAATGAACACTAGATTGTCAGTATAACTGTAAAATGAACACATCTGAAGACCATTTTAGAAAGATATTGTTCAAGATGTATCACTGATGTCCATACACTTGTTGGTTTGGGAGAAGGCAAACATTGAATTAGCTTGATCAATCATAGTCATCGCGAGATAATCGATGTGAACCTGAAACATTCATTCACTTTATAACTTGTGTAATTCCAGGGATTAAAATTAACACAATTTTTCAGAAGTCTGCTTGGCTACCTAAGCAGGTAGTCCCATGACAATATTGGATAGTCCATCAGGTTTAATAGGTAGCGACATGCAACAGATGTAAGCACAAATAAATGAATGTCACATTGCTCAATTTATGTGTGACACACTGGTAATTTAAAAACACAGAGTCAAATTTATTTTGTAAATTATTAGTATTACAGTTGGGCCACTAAATTTAGTAAATTATAATCATATTGTTGCACCATAGAGCATACAATTACAAATGATGTGAATATTATACATATGAAATTATTGAAATATGAATTATTGATGATGTAATAAAGACTTACGTCCACATCACTGAGGAGTCTGTATACATGCAAGTCAGTGGCACCAGCAATTATCAAGTTCTTTTCCTCTTTGCTGAAGAAATGACCATAGACACAATGTTCAATTCCTGTTGGAGGGTGTATCTGCCTATATAGTGCATACATCGTGACAGCACTCCTGATTCCAAACAAATTACACTAGTGTTATCTGAAAACAGAAGAAAAAGTATTTATTAACAGCACACATTCAAATTCTGTGTAAAATAATAGTTTTTACAATCATTTCAGTGCTTAATCTTTGGTATCCTGGAGACACCTAATTTGAGGCCAAATTTGTAACTAGAGATTCTAGAAACGCTCTTGTTGTCGCTAAAAGAAGTAGTGAATAAAGGAATTGATTAACTTGGAAAATATGCATTGATAAGTAAAGAATTATTTTTCTGAATGCATATTACAAACAATGTATTTAGTTTGATCTAATGATGTTATTAATAAATGGATTTTTATCTTATTGTAAAGAAAGAAATACAGTGTTAATAGTTGATTACCCAATGACATAAACAAGAGTTCCATTCATATGCAAATTTGATGTTTTTTACTAAACTCTAATCAGATCTTGCAAACATCTATATGAGCAAGAATTTCATTCATGCAAATTTGGCTAATTAACTTTTATAAAATATTTTTGTGCCAGGCAACAGTTCCAGACAATGAATGTCACTGTTATCTCTCCTGATTTTTTTTATGTGCAATTTGCAAGTTTCGACATATAGTGCATTCCTGCCCATATTCTTCTTTGGGACTATGTGACAGGGCAGTGTGACCATATCCCTATTATGATAGCATAATGGCAGTACCGTATAATGCCCTATCCTGGCATTACCTGCAGATCTTAACCAAGATGTCCCATCCATTAGTGAATGAGTTGCCCTCTCTTTAAAACCTAGTTTTTCGAAAAAGAATCTGAGGTGAAGTGGACAATATATATGACGCTGTAAGGAGAAGGTCCACCCCAACCTTTTTTTGTTATTTTCGCGGCTTTCGACAACTGATGTCGCACCTTCGGGTCAATTGGAAACATGTGAATACTTACACTATGACTATACGTATTACTGCAACCATGAACAACACAACGTTTAACCATCATAAACAACTTCTAAAAACTCTCTCTCAAAAAAAAAAAAAAAGAACTAAAAAAAAAAGAAAGAAAGAAAATAGACGAAACGCCGACCAAAATATCTCAAATTTACTTGGATACGAGTAATTTCAGAGATTACATTTTATTGAGCAATATCTCCCATCATCCACTGGAGTGGAATGGTCGAATGGCAGTAGGTATCCAGAGTCAACAAGGAGTCGTGATTGCTATACGCTCACTGGTTTTATTGCAATGCAATTTGAGATAAATTGAAACGTACAACAGTTATGCGCATTTGCTAGTCAATTCACTGTATTTCATATTCTCCGTCATGTGTACACTCTCATGGAACCTGGGACTGATCAAGTATAAACTAAACAAAGCAGATCTGGGATTGACTTAGTGAGACCTCAATATGCGACGACCACCCTTTTTGCTTTAACGAAAAGACAAATATATCATACAATTGGTCTGATTAACGAACAGCATAACATATAAGAAATTAGAAAATTGATAACATACCTCTAGAAAATGCACATAGCGGCAACGGTTCACATGGACGTCGCCATTTTGTTTACGGGCTTGGAGTTAGCATCTATTTCAATTTTACTTTCGATTAGATATTCATTTTGACTTTGTGTTAGAGTACCCCGGACCTTTTCGTGTTGTGGATATACTTCACTAAGTAGATTAAACCTCAGCTATCCTAATCCACTCCGTGTGTCGAAACTATACTTTCGGGAAATGTAGAGCTACCCCGGAAATCTAGCGTCAGCGAATTAACCCGAATCCGAAGCCACAAAAATGAACTCGAATCTGATTCTAACTTCAGTATCTTATATCACCTGACAGTTCATGCTCCATCATTGTCACCCCGTGTGAAAGTTTCTGAGATAGTAAAGAATGAATAGTGAATCTATGGGTAATACATTGAATTATGCGAACAAGGTCATATTGGCGCCTATGGTACGAATAGGAACTCTACCCAATAGGCTTCTTGCTTTGCATTATGGTGCAGATATTGTTTATGGTGAGGTAAGTCACCAAATCATGGTATTAACTGGGGGGGGGGGGGGGCCTGCAATATTTTATGTTAGATCATGCATGGAGGTATAAACATTTATATCATGGAATTTGCGAATCTGTTTTGAATCTAGACAGCAACACCTCCTAGATATTAAGCTCACCCGATGACCTTTTCAGCTCTTGGATTTTCTGTCAAAACTTTTTTTTATTCATTTTTGTTGTTTTGAATTCTCTGTGTGTAAGCTTTGTCATCTCACTTTTTGTTTTTGTCTGTTTTTGTTGTGTGTCTGATGATACCTGATAAGCGGAGTACATCTGAGCAAACGTGTGTTTCAAGATCGTTCCACTCATGACTAATTGAAGTTGTTGCTCCACTAATCATTCAAATTAAACTTTAATATTCACCCCATTCTTGTCAAATTGGCATTCTTTCTCATATGTACAATGTTATTGTAGTGGACGTTTCTGTTTGACAATTGTCAGTGTGTAACTTATTTTTGTTTGCTATCTTTGATAGGAACTTATCGATTACAAGATGTTACAGTGTAAAAGAGTTGAAAATGGTGAGTATGTGCATGATACTGGTATATTTGCTGTGAATAAATTTGTCAAAAAACATGAAAAGTTGCTGTTTTGATAATTTGGGTATTTTACATTAGGCCAAATAAATATTGTGGTTCTTATAACCTGCTTTCCAAAAATAGGTACGTACATGTAGGTAGGGATTCTTATTTTTCTATATATATATATTCTATATATTTTTTCTTGATTATAACTACTAATATATTTCATATTTATTTTCTTGCATGTAAGAACTGTTTAGCTGATAAGAGTATCATAAATCATGTTTAAAATTGTTTATAAATTTCTTAAAATCTTATTTAATGCCTGGCACAATTTCGTGATGTTTTCTCAAATATGACCAACAAAGTTTAGGGTCAGGTAGGTTGGGTTATAGGAAACACACAATTTGTTTCTCTTGGTCTAATAATAATTATAATAATAATAATAATTTTATTCAACACGAAAATCTTCTACAGAGAGTAATTTTATGGTTGTAAAACAAAAAACAGAAATAATACTACGGTAATATCACAAATAGCACATTCAATATAAGTAATTATAGAACAAGGACAAATCTTATTAAGCTAATGTTCTTGTTTAGGACAAAGCAAAACTGAACAACAACAATAAACAACAGCTCATATCACTCTAAAGCTCATCTGCCATCCTTTCAGCAAACCCTGACTTGTCCCATCTACTGTAACTATCTGTTGCCTATTTGATTGTTCTGACTATATACACTCTTTAACGCTTTCAGTCAGAATAAACATTTGCAGAATGAATTATATTGTTTTTACTATAGAATAATATAATGTGCACAAGTATGTCAGCTGATGACTACCTCATATTACTATTGTGATTTGAGAGAGTGGTACAAGCATTTGTAGATATTACTTGTTTTTTTTTTCACAGATATTCTAAATACAGTAGATTTTGTGCTTGAAAATGGTCAACCTGTTTTTCGAACTTGTGCCAAGGAAAAAGATAAATTGGTCTTCCAAATGGGTACATCAGATCCACAGAGAGCTTTACAAGTTGCCAAATTAGTGTAAGTCTCCATTTTTACCACTGGCTCTTCAATTTATCTTATATACCAGTACCAATTTTTCAGCATTGCGAAGCATTTCTATTGAAGATGCTTTTGTTTTTAATGAAAACTTTTGTGTCTTTTTTTGTCTGCATATCTCAAAAACCCATCATTGGTTTTCATTAACTACCTGTACATGTAGTTAGCCATTTTTAATTTGTTTGAGATTGAGGTTGTATCTCAAGATACTAAAAGAATTTGAAAACATCTTCATCTTCACATAGTGTCCCATGTATACAATATGCATAATCACAAACAACTTCCTTGCTCTCTAAGTGACGACAGTGGTGCTTTAATGATATTCATTTATGTTAATTTGTTTGCAGAGAAAAGGATGTTGCTGGGATTGATGTGAACATGGGATGCCCTAAAGAGTTTTCCATTAAAGTAAGTTTCACTCCAAGGAGAAGGACAATAGGTAGTTACTGATAGATCTGATGAACTCAATTTAGATATTAATATATGTCCATGCCTTTGAGAAGCATTTTCATTGTGTCTTCTTGCATTGGTTTTGAATTTCAACATTTTGCTCTGTGACATTGCAATGGAAATGAATTGTAGTAGTATTTAAAATTGTCATTTAATTTTGAGTTTTCAGTGACTAAATATATTTGCATTACATTTATTAGTCCCCGTTCGGACGTAGTCCGAAAACGGGGACTTATGTTTTGCCCTGTGTGCGTCTGTGCGTCCGTGCGTCCATGATCACCTGTATCTCGAACATGCATGGACCGATTAAGTTCAGACTTCACTCATACATCACACATTATATGCGACATGAGCACATGCATTTTTTTCATGATCCGATTATCGATAGCCGAATAGCGGCCATTTTAAGGCCGAAAATGCATCAAAATCGCACATTTTCACCATTCCGGACCCGGATCTCAGTTATGCATGCACGGATTTTGTTCAAATTTGGTACATACATTAAACTTAATAGGACCTTGATGCACGTCATTTTTTTTTTCGGATCAAGTTCGAAATGGCGGACTGGCGGCCATTTTGTTTTAAAGAATTCAGTTCTGGATCCGTATCTGAGACATGCTTGGATTGATCGAGATCAAACTTCACACACACAAGGTAGATCATGTCACAAATGTGTATGTGCATTTGTTTCATGATCTCATTAACGATAGCCAAATGGCGGCCGCTTTAAGGCCGAAAATGCATTGAAATCTCACATTTTCACCATTCCGGACCCGGATCTCAGTTATGCATGGACGGATTTCATTCAAATTTGGTACATACATTAAACATAATAGGACCTTGATGCACGTCATTTTTTTTTCGGATCAAGTTCAAAATGGCCATTTTGTTTTAAAGAATTCAGTTCTGGATCCGTATCCGAGACATGTCTGGATTGATCAAGTTCGAACTTCACACACACATGGTACATCATGTCACAAATAGATATGTGCATTTGTTTCATGATCCGCTTAACAATAGCTGAATGATGGCCATTTTAAGGCCGAAAATGCATCAAAATCACGTATTTTCACCATTCCGGAACCGGATCTCAGTCATGCATGGATGGATTTTGTTCAGATTTAGTACAATGTATTGCTACATATGCAGGTGCATTTCGGTCATGATCTGCTTTGAATGTATATGTCACTCAAATATGAACGGAACAGGGAAGTGTCAATGACAATGACTTGTTGTGTAACATAAATTGATACAAACCACATCTACTTCAGACTTAGTCACTAATATACAGTTACGGCTACGGTACTCTTGTTAACCAAATTTCTGACATCTGTTTGATGCCATTGAATTCACTTTCTATACCATACATTGATTCTGGCAGATTCATGCCATACAATTATTTCATGAATTGTCAGTACTATAAAAACAAAGTTATCTCAATACACATTTGTGAGGACACTCTAAACATTGAACAGTCATTTTGATCAGATATCACAAATCACCATAAAAACTCAAAAATTTCGACCACTTTTAAATAATTTTTTAGGAAAAACAGTTGGGTTTTTAGAATGAAAAATAACGATAAAATTTAGAATAAAAATTCAACAAATATGAAAGTTGGGTTATATACAGTTGCAGAAATTGAATAGATATAGTAAGTCATGTCTCTAAATAAATTTTTTGAGTAAAAATAAGTGAGGAATTTCTGGTGAGGTCAAAATTTTGGAGGTCAATTAATTATAAAAATTCTCCAAATAATTAGGTGGTTGAATTTTTAGAATAGGTGAAATATTATGGTAGTTAATATTGTAGCATACAACAAAGGGAGGTAAAAATCTTAATACCTGGATTACCATATTTGCTTAATTAGTAGAGCATCTATTTACATAATTTTTTTTATGGTCAAAATTTTAATATATATAATATTTTAATGATTTAGTGTATATCCAATACAATTTTTGGTATATATATGCTTTTATTGGAAATGTGCACCTAATAGAGAATAGAATGGTACATCCCTATTTCAAACTCAGTGATTTGAAATTATTTTAAGAGACAAGGACTGTCAATGTCTTTGACTCGTTTGATGTCACATGACTAAGGTTGCATGTCACATGACTAATGTTGCCTTATCTCTGCCTTATTTCTTTTCAAGGGTGGTATGGGAGCAGCTTTGTTGACAAAACCAGACAAAATTAAAGATGTGAGTATAGTAAAAGTAACATATCCATATTTAGTCAATTTATGTTTTCAGTTAATATGGCTTGGCTAGAAAAAAACGGTAAATCTTCTGTCATCACAACAAAAGATTCTCGAAGTGACTTGTATCAGATTATATTGTATTATTGCATATGATATCTGCTATTTGGCATACAGATAAATGTTAGTTCGTACCATGGTTTTTGTCTTTTGTTTTGAGAGATTGTTGCTTGATATTGATTTTAATATTTATACAAATATTGAATTTTTTTTCAAGGATTTGAAAAATATAGGAATGCAAATTTTATATATTTGTATGGTAATACACGATGAAGATTCCAAATTTATTTCTGACTGATGGCATCTCAGAACACAATTGATGCATGGTAAAGTTTGACTGTAGGAAGAGAAATAAGATTTATATGCTATTCAAAAATACAAAAACACATTGATAATAGTAAAATCAATCTGAGGTATAAACAGACACATTTAGTATTTCTAGAAATGTATGTGCATCTCAGGATTCATGTCTCATCTCGCAATACTAATTCTGTACATACCATACCATATACAAGTGACAAGTTGGGTGTATAACAGAGCTTTTTTTTGTTCCTAGATATTGACTACACTAGTGAATGGAGTATCCAAACCTGTCACTTGTAAAATTAGGATTTTACCAAAGGTGGGTCTGCGACTCTCATCATTTCAAGTTCTCTTCCCAATTAGAGAACTGTCTAATTAATAACATATATTAGTGGTGCATGTGTGTATATGTAAATGACAGAGATGTGTCAGTGGTCAAAATATTAATAAATGAAAAATAATTCCAGTATGTTAAAAATTGATGTAACCCGTTGGTTTATGTGTGCTAATATACATTATTCAAGGAGTGAATTGACCATTTTCCGTTCACGCGTTATGCGTGAAATTGAAAGTAAAAACAGGACAAACAGAGGTCATAGTAACATAGTGGCGTCAAACATCGTGTGGGATTCGACAAACGTGAAAGTATTTTGGGAATATTTCCATGCTTAATGTGCTGTCCACATTTGATGATAGGCAATTTCGATGAAGTAAGGGTATTCGAAAGCAATATTCCTCTATCCAAGATTAGCCGGTCGATGTGAGCTCCCAAAATAAAGAAATTTGAGTTCAAAATCAAATCGTTTGATTTTTGCGACAGACATTCAACCCGCTTCTTTCATGCAACTTGCAAGATCTTCAGTTAAACTGAACATCACCTATTGCTTGCAGCCATTTCTTTTTAATGTAAAATAGGATTCCTTTTCACATCTGTTCATTAACCATATGGGTAATGTGCATGTTTGTTGATATTGAGTCCTTGTGAAGGAGTACATGTTGGGTTATTAACTACCACCAGGTGGAGGAAACCATAGCATTGGCCAAGCTTATACAGAGCACTGGAGTTGCAGCAGTTGCTGTGCATGGACGACTCAGAGAAGAGCGCCCCCGACATCATGTCAATTGTGATATTATTAAAGCGGTAGCAGAGTCACTTTCCATTCCTGTCATTGCTAAGTAAGTTATCATCAACTGCTGTGTTTTTTTCTCCAAAACACCATAACCGCAACCAGTGTCCCAGCATGCATATTTGCCAATTGTTTTGGATTCCCACACTTTTCTTGATGTTTTTGCAATTTTTTTCCTGGGTTGTACTTTCTGGCATTTAGCATTTCTATTGCATTGGTATTTTCTTGTGATAATTGCCGTTTGATCAGTTCATGGTTTTTAAATCATCAGTGGAGGCTCAGATGAATATCTCAACTGCTACGAAGACATTGAAAAATTTAAGTTGTTAACTGGCTCATCATCTGTGATGATTGCAAGAGAAGCTCAATGGAACATGTCAATATTTAGAAAAGATGGTTTATTACCTGAAGATGATATATGTAAAGCTTATCTAAAATATGTAAGTTCTTGAATATGTCTGACAGTATTAAGTGTTTCTCATGAAAAATTGGGTTGATTTCTATAAAATTTGTCTGATATCTCAAGAGTGACTCAATTGAATTCAATGTAACTTGCTACATATAGGTTCTTTGATATAAATCACAGACCTGATTTGTATTCAGTTGGATTTCTTGCATAATAATAAAGGCTTTATTTTTCAGGCAGTTGACTATGACAACCCATATACAAATAGTAAATATTGTTTACAACAAGTCTTACATAAAAACATGGAATCTAGTCAAGGACATGCATTGAGACGTGCCGAGTCTGCTAAAGATGTTTGGTGAGTCAATATTTTACTACAAAACAGGGGTTTCAATGATCTTTCAATTAAGTTAAACTTGGCCAAAGCTTTGAACTGCACTGAACATGCAAAAGACAAATCGATGCAAATTTCAAGAGTCGGGGAAATCGCAACATTCTGTGATCAGTACAGTTTCACAAGTGTGGATGGTTTTGAAGTTGACACAAACAAGTTTTTATGTGTGAACTTCTCTAATGCAATGTATTACCACAGGGCTAACGAACTTCACATCCAATTTTTGACTCCCATGTGCGAAGCACAAAATGGGAGTCTTTGCAGTTAGTGTGTCTGTATGTGTGTATGTGTGTATGTGTGTATGTGTGTATGTGTGTGTGTATGTGTGTCCGACTGTTCCACTGCTATCTCAAGAACCATACATCGGTTTTTGATGAAACTTGGTGCATAGATGCTCTGGGCCAATGCGCAGATTTGATTAGGTTTTGGTAAAAATCCATGATCGTTAATTACCTAATTTGCATGATAATTAGCTAATTTTTAGCTGTTCTATGACTGTTCCACTGATATCTAAAGAACCACTCATTGGATTTTGATGAAACTTGGTACATAGATGCTCTGAACATATGCGCAGATTTGATTAATTTTTGGTAAAAATCCGTGCATATTAATTACCTAATTTACATGATAATTAGCTATTTTTTAGTGGTTCCATGACTGTTCCACTGATATCTAAACAACCACTCATTGGATTTTGATGAAACTTGGTACATAGATGCTCTGAACTAATGCTAGGTTTTGATTAGTTTTTGGTAATAATCCGTGGATACTAATTACCTAAATTGCATAATGATTAGTCAATTTTCGTTTTTTCCACTGATATCTCAAGTACTAATCATCACATTTCAAATGAAACTTGGTACATAGATGTCAT